TTCTTCCCTTTACTTTTAGGAGGCATTTTCAAGCAGCACACAGCTTCGTGTCACTTAAAAAAAAATAGTTGGAGCAGTTGATTACCAGCAGTAAGTGAATAGGTTGAATGGCAGTTAAAAGATAACCTTAACCTTTGTCAGGTGGTTTGCTGTTAGCTAGCTGTGTCTTACTGCAGTCTGGCTTCATATTGCTGCATGACTGCCAACCTGTGGCATCCCCCGTAGTTAAAATATATAACAAGATACAATACATGATTATTACGTGATATGAGATCAAAGGAATTTATATTTCAAAGGAACTTTAGACAATTTACCAGGAGTGTTTAACAAAAGTCAGGTCCAGTTATTCCCGGTTAGGGCGGTTGGTACCTTCCAGTGGACTCATCACCCGCATGAAGGTTCAAGAGGGTTGTGGAGACTGCTGCCCCCGCGACCCAGTTACGGATAAGCGGATGAAAATGGATGAATGGATGTATGGAAGGTCCAGTTATTAAGATTTCCTTGAAGTAAAAGCTTTGAACCAGCGTCCAGCTGGGCTCTTATAGGTTTCCCACACATCCTCATTTATTCACATTTTAACAATACGATAAAAAAACTCAGAATAAATACAATAAAATAAAAACAAATAAAATGTGCAAACAGAGTTGAATAACTCTTTTGTTTCTCTTATAAAGTATTTTAACAATACTAATTGAGTTTACAGCTAGCTCTTCTACCATAAATTAAAGCAGTCTAATGCAAATAAATTGAAGGCCTTTTTCCAGATTATCGATAAAAAAACTCAGAATAAAACAAATAAAATGTGCAAACAGAGTCGAATAACTCTTTTGTTTCTCTTATAAAGGCCATAGCCTTAAAATTGAAGGCCTACTGTTCAGTAAAAGTAAGTCACATTTTCAGATATCGAAAAAAAAAAATGCTTTTTTTGGGAAAAAATGCAAACAGAACTTTGAACAGCACATTTTCATTTATTTTTTTTTTTGTGACTGTCCTGCCAGTAATTTAATTTTGTTTCATTTTTTTCACACATCTGTTTTCCCTCAAAAAACAGTAACAGCGTTTAAGCAAAACATTTTTTTATGTTGCACCAAAATCTACAATACCTTTAGTGCTCGTTATTTTGCTCATTGCTATGCTGTAAATATATGCTTGGACAGCTTGGACTTCATAAGATAACTGCTCAAAAAAGGTGTGCTTAGTTTCATAGTGGCGTATATGAGGTATATGAGGCATTGAAATGCTTATCACAAGAATGAATATAAATTTCTCTGTCCCAAAAAAATAAACATTTTCCTCATTGACTTTCCTTCTTTTCGAGCAAGCCATTCTGTCATCACTGGCTCTTCCTCGTGACTATGGTGAACTGGCTGCCCAGGGTAAACAGCAATAGTTAATATGCTGGAGTGGGCGGTAGCACTTTCTGATGGCTCTGTTAATAAAGCTTTTAAACCGTTGAGACAACAAACAAAAAGCAACCAACTTCACAAAAATTACATGCACAGCTCCCGACCCCCATGGAAATTTTTTTTTCTTTCTGTTTCCGTTTCTCTGTTTTTACAATGCAAACAAGATGGCTTTCGCTAAAGCTGTAATGCTAACAGACCATTAGACCTGTTTTTTTATTTTAAAGCCAATTGCTGTGACTCAAATTCTCCAAGCTGTGGAATGACCAGATATAACAATTATTTTGATTTCTGACCATGGGAATGCCTGTCTCATGAGACATACAGTTTCCAACTATCCATCCATTTTCATCCGCTTATCCGTTATTGGGTTGCGGGGCAGCAGTCTCCACGACCGCCACCCAAATCACATTGCACTGTACCAGTACATCGTGAACCTTCCTGCGTGTGGTGAGTCCACTGGAAGGCGCAAACCACCCTAACCGGGATTCGAACTTGCCCAGGAGGTGAACCCTGGGGTTCCACACCAATGACAGAGACATTGCCTCTGGGCAAAGCGCCGACGAGACATACAGTTTTGATGTCAAAAACGCTGGGCATTTTGGAAGGGGGTGTTCTATTTTGTCTTATAACTTAACTAGAATTATTATGAGTGGTACCACATGGAAGTCAATAAAATGTCCTTTGAGGTGATACCCAATACATTAGCAATACAATTATAGTTGTCTTTGAAGCAAAAATGTGAAGATTTTAGGGAATTTCGGAGGGACCAGGTCAAACTATACACCATAGAACCTCATAAAACTTTACTGATTCAACAAAGATTAAGTGCAGTAATGGACTAAAGCTATTTTATTGCATTAACATTCATTATCAACAATAGGACACTCAGGGAAAGCAAGGTCAGGCACAAATGTTGTTGAGATGAGCCTCTGTTTGGCTCAATCAGGGCTTAGTCAGTTTCCTAATATTTAGATTAGGGCCAGCACAAGTCATGACATTTTAACCAATCAGATTGTATGGGATTTTCTATTATTTGTTAACATTAGCAAAATTGTATTATTTCCCACAGTCAAGAAGTTGAAACAGCTTTTGATGTTTCCTGTTTATTTTTGGTTCAGTTATATAACATACTGGGTTTTATGAAAGTTTTCTTGAGAGACAACAACTAATGAGATTCAAAGTTTATTCAAAATATATAATTTAATGGTCAAGTTTGCTTTCCTTGAGTATAACAGGAGCAGCACCTTGCATCAGATTATTGCAGAGCATGGCAGACCAGCATCCGCGGACAATGCCTGATTGAGCTGTAGTTGAATTACAGTCACCACTGGACTCTTAGGTAGGTAACCTATTACTGCATTCAATGTCAAGAACCAAACAAACCACTGAGACCAGGAAGGAAGTGCTTATCAACAGAGCCGTTCCTTGATTTCAGTTTCTGGACTACTGACAGAATAATGGCATCTGGGAGAGTTCTCCGTAGTGGTAAAGTCACAGTCATTACTGTAGAGGAACCAGGTGAAAAACAAAGACAAGTTGGCACACCATCTACAAGGTTCTCCAGTGAAGTATATTTAGTTGGTCATCCTTCACCTGGTGTTATTGGTTCAAAGCTGCCAACCAATGGGCAAGCTTTCCAATATTTCTTGCACGTGAAGAATGTGGAACCAAATCAAGACAATTGGTCCCTTGCTTATCAAATGATTGATACTGTTATCCCTTTCTGGAATATGGCAAGGATAAAGACTAAAGTATGTCTAGACAGAATGCAATGCTGCATTTCTTAAACCTGCATGAGAGACACAGAAGGGATAAAGTTGATGAGACATACATTCANNNNGAAAGAGTAGTTGAAGCCAGGTTGAGGCAGGAAGTGGAGATTTGTGAACAACAGTATGGTTTCATGCCTAGAAAGAGTACCTCAGATGCAATATTTGCCTTGAGTATGCTGATGGAGAAGTACAGAGAAGGTCAGAAGGAGCTGCATTGTGTATTTGTAGATTTAGAAAACTATGACTCCCGAGTCAAAGATTTGTTCTTTTTACATAATTTGGGCTTCCAGCTCATGAAATCCACGAAAACAGGAATTCAAAGATCGGAACACTGTGGAGAAATCAACCCAAATTTTGCATGGCATGAATGCTTTAAACTGTGTCACACTCTAATCATCTACTAAACTCAAAATAACCCAAATTTTGCATGGCATGAATGTTTTAAACTGTGTCACACACTAATCATCTACTAAACTCAAAAGCATTTGCACAGGTTTCCCTAGGTGTAAATGGCTTCAGTTTGGTTCAATTGTCTCAGTTCGGTTCAATATGGGGAAGACTGCAGACTTGACAACTGGCCAGAAGACCATCATTGATACCCTCCATAGGATGGGTAAGCCACAAAAGTTCATACCTAAGGAGGCTGGCTGTAGTGGGCTCTATGTCCAAGCATATCATTGGAAAGTCTAGTGGAAGGACAAAATGTGGCAAGAGAAGATGCACCAGCAAAAGAAATGATAGTGGGCTTCAGTGGATTATCAAACAGAGAAGATTCAAGAATCTGGCATACATCCAGAAAGAGTGGAATGAGGCAGAAGTCACAGCTTCAAAATCCACCACATTGAAACGCATCCGGGAGATGGGCTACAATTGTCAGGTTCCTCGGGTCAAGCCACTTCAGAGCCTAAGCCAACATAGGAAGCGTCTCAACTGAGCGAAGGAGAAGAAGGACTGGATTGTAGGCCAGTGGTCCAAGGTCCTCTTTTCCGCAAAAAGTAAAGTGTGCCTTTCATTCAGGAATCATAGTCCAAGGGTTTGGAGGAAGACGGGAGAGGAACAGAACCCAAGCTGCTTGAGGTCCAGTGTGGAATATCCACAGTCAGTCATGATTTGGGGTGCAATGTCCAGTGCAGGTGTTGGTAAACTCTGCTTTCTTAAATCCAAGGTCACTGCAACAGTCTACCAGAATGTTTTAGAGGACTTCATGATTCCTTCTGCGGAGGATCTGTATGGAGATGCAGATTTCATCTTCTAGCAAGACCTGGCCCCTGCTCATACCACCAGAAGCACCAGAACCTAGTTTGATGCCCATGCCACCACAGTGCTTGACTGGTCAGCCAACTCGCCGGACCTGAACCCCATTGAGAATCTATGGGGTATTATCAGGAGGAAAATGAGGGGCACCAGACCCAAAAGCAAAGAAGAGCTGAGAGAAAGCATTAAGGAAATCTGGGGTCCATAACTCCCAGGCAAAGCCATAGACTGATTGCATCAATGCCATGGCGCATCAAGGCAGTGATTAAGGCAAAGGGATTCCCAACCAAGTATTGAAGACTGACATATCGTTTTGAAAATGCCATATTTTGATTGATTTGATGTGATCCTAATTTCTTTCTTTTTTTTTCTGCAAAAACTGAGATGTAAATGGTGATTTCTCCATAGTATTAACATTTTTTGAATTCCTGTTTTTGGGGGTTTCATGAGCTGGAAGCCCAAAATTATGTAAAAATAAACAACTAAATACTTGAAATCATTTAAACCGTGGGTCCTGAATCTATAATCTATG